GACACTTGAGGGAGAGAGATTAGCAGAGGATAATGTTTCTTACCGTGCTGTGAATAGCTTGAGCTGCTCTTGTCTGTTTGTTGTGTTGCTGTGAAAAATGCAAAGCCAGCCATTTTCCATCCCTTTCAGCTACTCAGTTGGTGACCCAGGAATTTAAAGTCCAGATGGCTAAAATAAGAGGAGGAGGAGGAGGTGGTGGTGGTGGTGGTCAGGACAACCACCATAAAAATCTCATTTATTTGGGGGTGTAAAAATGCAGGAGGAAAGCCACAATCCACTTACTTGAGTCCTGGTTATCCTCGGGATTAAAGAGGGCCAAAACAGCCTAGGGGAGATACGGGTTCTGTGAATTGACCTGGCTCGGCTTTTGAGCTCAACCCATGATAGTAAATATGACCGGTCATCTCGGAAACACCCTTTTTGAGATGGGATTTTCTTCCTATAAATGTCATCAGACAGGCTTTGCTTCCATTTATGAAATCAAACCAAAGTTTGTTTTTCTCTAACAATAAATATGCTTGGATTATAAGTGTACATAGGATGAGGGAGGGGATGGAGACAGGGAGGAGGAAGGAAGGAAGGAAGGAAGGAAGGAAGGAAGGAAGGAAGGAAGGAAGGAAGGAAGGAAGGGAGGGAGGGAGGGAGGGAGGGAGGGAGACTTAGTTCGGAAGTGTAATGCATAATCATGAGGGTGCTAGACTAGGATTACAAAAATCAAACGCAAGTCCACACCCAATCACAGACATGAGAAGGCTTTACACATTGCCAAAAGCTGTGCTGGTTCTTGTGTAATGTTAGCATTGCGCAACATGTGAATTCAGGCTCCATGGTTTGTTTGTCAGACAGCCTCAGCTGAGCTGACCCCCCCCCCTCCTCTGTCTCTCAGCCAAAAAGGGGAAAAATAAAACTGGGTTTTGTGCATGATTCCTTTGTTAGTTAATTAGCTCTTTCCCTGCCACCAAGCTTGCCTGTTGACTGGGTGGAGATGGGTAGCTTAAGATCTTCCTGGGACATTTTCCATTTGCAATTCAATGAAAGAAGGATGGTACCTGCTTTTTGGTCTCCATCACTGCTCTTGAGCACTCTTGAGCAATTGTTACTAGGGAAGAAGAGAGGAAGGGGGATGTTTGAGAGAAAAACTTGCATAAACAAACTCTGCTTTCCACCACTCAGAAATGCAAAGAGCAAGTAAGCAATCAGAAGAGAGCTGGAAGGGACCTTTGAGGTCTTCTAGTCCAACCCCCTGCTCAAGCAGGAGACCCAGTACCATTTCAGACAAGTGATTTTTTTTTTTTTTTTGGAAAAGGTGCTACCAAATTCCTGCTGGCTTTTTGCACCATTGATTAACATAGCTCTGCTCCTACTAGGTATAGTGGATTTACCCAAACAAATATGCATAAGGGTGAGCTACATCCGCTAATTCCAACATAGATTTGCATTTCAAAAGGCTTCAGGGCTGATTCTTCCCCACCTTTTTTTGTGCCCTGCAATGAAAGGAGACTTAAAATCTACTGTCCAGAACAGAAGGTATAATAATAGGGATGGAAATAATGTTTTAATGGCAAAAGACTGGCTCCGGTTGATGGCCACTTGCTAGAAGGATCCTATCAATAAAATCAAGTTTAACCTAGTGGTTTTAATGGGAAACTTACATGGTCATCTACGTACAATTCATTTCTGAGAATACAGATTGTCCTCAAGGCACAACAGTTCATTAGTGACCGTTCAAAGTGACAACAGCACTAAAAAAAAGTGACTTGTGACCATTTTTTACACTTACGGCCAGTTCAGCATCCCCACGGTGGCGTGATCAAAATTCAGAGGCTTAGAAACTGACTCGTATTTATGACGGTTGCCGTGTTGTTCGTTACCAAGCCAAAATTCAAAAGCCAGCCTTCTACAGGGAAAATGCCAAGCACTGGTAACATTCCTTGTTGCTTCCTGAGTTGTTAAAATGGCAACTTTTAAAAAACAAAACTTTGGGGGATGACTTCAAGTTTTCCCCTCAAAAGTTCTATGGGACAGACTAAAGCAATGTAGGAAAATAACAAGAACATTCTTTCTTTTTCTAAAGAAAGGACAACTCAACAGCGTGGAGGATTCTTTCATCTGGACCTGGTTTATTTCAGTCAACAAAATCTGGGTGGATTTGCTTTTCCCAAGTAAATGTGATTTTTTTTTTTTTTTTTAAAGAAGTAGAAGCCAGAACATTGGGTGGTGACACCTTTAGACTTTACCAGAGCTTCTGCCCTAATAAAATTGGAGAGTCTGAAGGAGACAACCCAACTCAAGGTCTACTCTGCATAAACTAGCAGCGTGGCACAGACTAACAGGGGTTCCTTCCCCCCCCCTCCATTTTCTAAGAAGGAAACAATTTGGAAAGCCTTCTTTGGAGAGGACTTCATTAAGGTGAACTCAGATCAGTATTGCCGTCAAATCTGCCTTGTCACTCATCTTTCCTTTCATGCCCAATCAAGATCATTTCTACATAAACCCAATTGGCCACCCACCCATCCGGGACCAGGCTGAAGTCACATGTCTGGGATTTTGCTCACTGGTGGAGAATGACACCAACATAACAGTGACTGCCCCAGTTCATGTAAAACCTATCAGTTCCTTCTAACAAAACCAGTACTCAGCAGTGGATTTGGGAACAAAAAAGCAGGCCCCAGGGTCTCTCTCTCTGTCTCTCTCCCCCTCCCCAGCACTGGAATGGGCAAGGCTCTTGACCTCAAAGAGGCAGAGGCTAGGCCCAGATAGACCTTGGGTGTCAAGTTCAACCTGCTGGACTGCATAAACCTTCCCCCAAAAGGAAGGCATTAAAAACAGCTTTATTTCCACAGCCCAAACATGACAACAACCGAAAGCGTTTTTTCCAGAGCTGGGGGCGGGGGGGGTTGGTCTCCCCAAACTCCCCAACAAGCAATGCAGCCATTGTCCAGAGCAAAAGAGAACCAGGCAAGGTGAGTGTATCTCATCTCCCAGGACATTTTTAAACCCTCTCCCCAATAATATAATAACAACTGGAGCACCACTTGAACACCATTGGCGTTGACAAAAAAAAAAATCCCCATTGGTCAATTGCAAGAAGCAGCTTTAATGGGAACGCCTATACCTTGCAAAGAGACTTTTCCAACGTCAAACAACATCTGCCCATCCCCAAGTCCCTGGGCAGAACTCAGTGAGTGGCTAAAAATGCCAGAACCAGTCCAAACAGCTGCCTGGTCTTGCAACCAACCCACAATAATAACATTGGCACTGACAACATCCCTATCAGTCAATTGCAAAAGGCAGCTCGACTGGGGAAACAGATTACACCCTGCTACAAGACCTTTACTGCCATCAAACAACCACCTCTGCCCATCCCAGCTCCTTGAGAAGGGGAGGGGCAATGGCAACAACAACAACAACAACAACAACACCACTCAATTGCAAAAGGCAGCTCTTTACTTGCAGCAACTCACACGAGGCTTTTTAACAGGATCAAAACGCATCAGCCCAGCCCAGATCAGTGGGAAGGACCCCAGAGGAGGATTAAAAAGGCCCAATCCAGTCCAAACATGGGGCTGACCGAGCAATCAGCCATAATCCCAGTAACTTTTTCCTACAGTCTTCCCGCACCTCTTTTCCAAGCTAACCCTACACACACACACGCACACGCACACACAAAAACCCGGGGACGAATGCCAACCCTCCCAGTAACCCGGAGCCTACCCAACACTTCCCTTGAATTCTCCTGATGAAAGTTTCGGACCAATCAAACTCCTCTTCCTCCTCCTCCTCCTTTTCCTCCCCCCTCCCAAACTCGCCTCGAATGTAAAGGCACTCCCCCCCCCTTTTTTTTTTGCTTTCACGCGCAACGGCAAAGCCTCTTCTGTGGAAACCGCGCCGGGTTCGCGGGGAAAAAGAGGAGGGCGAGATTGTTGTGTGCAATTGTAGCCTTGCGTTTTACACAGCCCCCTCCCCAAAAAAACCCCAGACCTTTGTAAAGGGGCGAGGGGGCAGATATCCCCCCCCCCGGCCTCGTTTCTCCTGGAGCGATTTTTTCCTTTACAAAAACCAAGCGCGCCGATTTTGCGCTCACTCGCCCAGCGGTCGCCATTCACACGCGTGTTTTTTTTTGTGTGTGTGTTTTTAAGGATTCAGACCGGCCTGGGCGCGTCTACTCAGGAGTAAACCCCCCCATTGAGCCTGAAGCAGCCGTTTCCCCACGGCGGCCGAGCGGATCAGCGGAAACGGAGAGGAATCTTCCTTGGCCATTTCTACGCGGTTGCTTACACGGCCCCCATCCGCCGCTCTCTCACACCGGTGTACACACACACACACACACACCCTTCCTTTATCTGCGAAAGACGGCCAACGGACGGCGAGTGTCGGCTTCGCTACGCGTTCCCTTTCCCGCACGACTTCCAAGAAATCTCCGCGTACGCCCCGTCCCCACGACCAGAAGCCAGAAACACCCCATTTTAGTCCTCTTTTACAGACCCCCCCGCCAAAAAGCGGAGGACCCGGAGAAGAATTTCAACAGCAGAAGACGAAGAACTGGGCTGGGGGGGGGAGAGAGAAAAGAGAGACCGGCTAACCTTTCATCTGAAGGCGGCTCGGCTACACACAGAGCGCCCCCCCCCCCGAATTTACAAGGGACGTTTGGACGCCAGACCCGGAGGAAAAGTTCCATCAAATCACCCGAGCTGTCCCGAACTTACATGGTTTGCAACGCCAGGAGAAAAAAAAGAAAGAAAAAAGAAATCTAGGTTTAATCCACCCAAAATTAAAAAGAGACGGCACGCCCCAGTCTTAGAAAAACCCAGCCGGATTTCCTTGAAAATTACTTCTTCAAAAAAAAAATTATAAGAAACTTAACCATGGAAGGATTCCTTATTCCTATTTCTAAGGTAGGCTGGAAGTGCCCCCAACCTCATGTGCTAGGCAGAGAAGGAGAGATAATCAGAAAGAGACAGTTCACCTCCATCCAGGAAAAAAAAATGTTTTCAATTTACCTTCGGAGCTTTTTCGGGCCTCTGGATCTGTCAAGATGGTTCGTCCTCCCTCCTTCCGGGGTCCAAACGGTTTTAGGGAATTGTGTGGTCAAAAGGTAAGCAAGCCCGATCCAGGAAGCAAACAGGAGAGAGAGAAGGCAATTCGAAAGAGGGGAAGGCGTAAAACGGAAAACCTGAAAACTTTTCTCCTGCACACCAGCAGCTTTTCACAGAAATAAAAAATTAAAATGAGAAACCAGAAGAAGCTAAAGCAGAAATTCAGAGTAAAAGAGAAAAGTTTGTTTAAAACCTGCAGCTCCAGGTTGGGTTTTCTGCAGCATTGAAAGTTGCTCTACACACAAGTGACACTCACCAAATTTTAAAAAACTAGGCCTACCGTGTGTCCTTTCCCAAACAATAAACTTTTAATGCTAAAGCAGTTATATAACCAAAAGCTGTACATTGTCATCTGTGGATTTTTTTTCTTCTTTTGTTAGAAAATGAAATTGATATTTTTAATGGGATTTTTTTCTCATAAATATTGTTCAGTTCCTGGCACTTGTCTCAATAATTAAATTACAAATGATAAATATGGCATCATGGATATGTATTTACACACAAAAGAGGTATTACAAAAAGGCAACTGTTTATACTAAACTGCCAGGAGCTGGGTGAAAATAATATTTTTTTTCCATTGTAAAAAATAGATTGAATGACCCCCTTCCTATTTCTGCCATTAGAAGAAAATACATTCACAACAGAAAGGAAAAGGAAGAGAGAAAAAGGGAGGGAGGGAGGAGAGGAGGGAAAAGAAGGAAAGAAGGAAGGAAGGAAGGAAGGAAGGAAGGAAGAAAGAAAGAAAGAAAGAAAGAAAGAAAGAAAGAAAGAAAGAAAGAAAGAAAGAAAGAAAGAAAGAAAGAAAATATAGGACTTTGGCAAGTTTAAAACTGTTTTTTCCTTCTACTTTGAACAATCGCATAAGGCCAAGAGAAAAAACATCGGCTTCATTTCCAAACATCCCACTGAAAAGAAGTCGGGTGTGAAAGATGCAACATCCATGGAAGTCAGTTACAAAAGGAGAGGAAAAAAGGGAGGATGGGAGATGAAGAATGAATTAGAAGAATTGTTTTTTAAAAATTAAAAAACCCGGAAAGAAACACCCAATGCAGAAAGAAAACCGGCTAATCCTGAGAACAGCAGACGTGGTTAAGTTCAACCTCCCTCTGGCTCTTGGATGGGGTGAGAGAGATGGGGATGCTGCCCCCTGACACCCCCACTTTCCTCCTTCCTTTTGGCAATTTTTGTCCAGTAAAATCCAACAGCAGCAGCAGCAGCAGGCCAGGCGGGAGGGCTGGCTGTCCTTTGATGTCACTGGGAATCAAAGTGAGGAGGGGGCAGGCCGCGGGTTCCCCCTCCTCAAACATACCATTCATTGAAGTTGGGGGGCAGACTAGGGTTCGGGTTGGCCGTCTGAACAGTGGAAGGGGCAGCTTTCCCGGAGTCCTTACTGGGGGCAGCAGCCAGGGCGGGGGGCGTGGAGGATTCGTAGCCTGAACTAGCTGCGGGCGAGGATTCGGAGCTCTGCGTTTCGTGGACCTGAAAAGGACAGAGAGAGAAAGAAAGAGAGAGAAAGAGAAAGAGAGGGGGGGGGAGAGGATCACCACAGGATCAGAACTGCTTATTTATTTCATTGATATGTTTGGCAATCCAAACCAGATAAAAACAGAACCAATAATTATAAAGAGAAGTAGCTTAAAAGGTGCAGCCCAAGAACACACTCACATATGCCTCCCCATTTGAGAGAGGGGAGCGGGGGGGGGGAGAGAGAGAGAGAGAAGGGGACAAACTTAAAGCAAACCCCCAGCTCAATAGATTTTTTTGAAACAAACCAAAGAAAATAGAAAAGACCCACACCCAAGAATAAATCTAGAATAAAGGATCTTGGAGGATAAATGTTGTGTTTGTGTTTGTATTTGTGTATGTGTGTGTGTGAGAGAGAAAGAGAGACAGAGTGTGTGTGTGTAGGGGGTAAATGTAAAGCAAACTTCATTCAAAAGATTTTTGTCCCGAATCGGAGAAAGTAAAAAAAAGACCCCCAGCCCAGATTAAATCCAGAATGAACCAGAACAGTAAGGGGTTCTGGAGGACAAATTTTCAGCCTGCCCTGCAAAGAGCCCTCCAGCCAATCTGCATGATGACAATTAGGAGGCTGATGGCCCTTGACTGATACTCCAGAGTAAGGCAAATGACCTTGGAAGGGATTTATATTTTAGAAGCTTCCATGGAGGGGGGGGGAGGGAGCAGGAGAAAATGCCATCTTGTTTCACTACCAACTCCTGCTTCTGGATTCTGAAGAAAGTCTTCTAATCGGAAGTGTAGGATTAAAAAGAAGAAGAAGTTATGCCTGCATTAGATGGCTAAACCAGGGAGCAGTCAGGATTAAGAAGGTGAACTATTTGGCAGCAAAAGGCAAACTGAAAGAGGAACTTCAAGCAAACAGCCCCTGTTGGGGAAGAAAGTTCCAGAATCAAGCCAGACCAAAAGAGAAGACTGCCATGATTTTAAAAATAAAACAGTAGGCTAAAAGTTTGCATAAAGTTCTTTTTATGTCCCCCTTTTCTCACTGGAATGCTTATTCGAAAGGCCAAAGTACAGGCAGTCCTTGATTTGCAACAGCTCACTTAGTGACTGTTCAAAGCTACAACAGCGTTGAAAAAAGGGACTTATGACCATTTTTCTCACACCTGTTGCCGCATCCCCGTGGGTCACGTGACCAAAATTCAGACATTTGGCAGCTGTCTCATAGTTACGACAGTCACAGCGTCCCGGGGCTCACGTGATCCCCTTTTGTGACCTTCTAACAATCAAAGTCAATGGGGAAGCCAGGTTCACTTAACAAATCATGTTACTAACTTAAGAACTGCAGTAATTGACAGTTGTAGCAAGGAAAGTCGTAAAATGGGGCAAAATCCACTTAACAAATAACTTACTTAGCAACAGAAATTTTGGGCTCAGGTCTGCTGTGCACAGAGCAACAAGGATGTGTGCAGGCATTCTGTGTTCTGGTGAAGGGGGGTATTGTATAAATAACTAATAGGCAAAACTAAAGGCACACAGAAGACTGTAATATGTAGAAATAACTGTTTGGGCACAGAGACAGAGTGGTATCATAATACATTAACTATTTTGCACTCTTGGTATAAATTATTGGTATTGCTACACTATGCAGTTGTACATGTAACTGTACACACAAACACACATGCAATCTACTTTCCTACATAGATTTCTTTTTAGGAGGAATGAGAAAGAGAGAGCATTTGTGTGCAATTATACACCCACAAACACATTTATTTATGCAAGATCAAGCTGGATAGCTTTCACAATTCGGCAAGATTGGTTTGGTTTTTTTTAAATTCTGTAATCAAAAATAGAAGCAGCAATATATAAATATGGGCCACCAACCCTGACGATGGAAAACGTTACCTTCATATGCTTCCTTAAGGAACTGGGGTGGGTGTAGGACTTATCACAAACTTTGCAGACGTAGGGCTTGTCAGAGGTGTGTACGTGCATGTGTTTCTTTCTGTCGCTGCTGTTCGCAAAACGCCGATCACAGCCTTCAAATTCGCACTTGAAGGGCTTTTCTCCTACAGATGGACAGGAATGCAGATTGAAAAGATCGGGGTGGGGGGGCTTTGCTCCTTGCCTGGTTCTTTCCCTCTCTCAAACTTCAGTTCCTGAATAATGTTTGCCTTTTATTTTTTTTTCCATTCTGCTTTCCCCCCCAGTAATATGCTTGAGGGAAGGAAGGAAGTGGAGGGAAGGAAGGAAGGAAGGAAGGAAGGAAGGAAGGAAGGAAGGATCAAATGGGGGTTGTTGACAATTAAATGGCCATTGTGCCTTTAATCCTGTGTTTATCACATGCAACCAGCCACTCTTAGAAAAGATTCAGAAACTGATTTGGGAGCGATTTATGAACTGAGTGACTCAGAGGAGGATCCCAGAATGCTAGAAAATAACACTATTGGTTGCTTCCAATTTTTTTTTTTTTTAGAAGAACGAAACTCTTTCTCCCAAACAACAAACAAACGGGGGGGGGGTGCAGGGAGAGAGGAGAGAAAAAAAAATACTCGGGACAAAAGGTATCACTGATTTAATTAGGGGTGCCAATCAAGTCGTTAAAAGAGAGAGCGGAAGTGAGGGAAAATTCGGTTTCATTTGCATCTCTATGGTTGGCTTCGCCGACTGCCTGAGCAAGGGGCTTTCAAAAAGCAATCCACTCACCTCCAAAGAACGCCCCCTCCCCCCAGGACTCCTAGGACGCCCCCCCCCCCCAAAAAAAAATCAGGAGGGGGAGGCTGAGAGCCACGAGAGGGGAAAGAAAGCTAAGGAGGCCGAGAGGGAAGAAAGTCCTTGAAATTTCATTTCGGAAGAACGGAAGGAAACAAAAATACCCCGCTCCAAAAAAACAAAACAACACACACACACAAATAAACAAACAAACGAACGAACGAACGAACCGAAAACAGGCTGGTCCTTTTTGCCGAAATTGACAAGGCATCGGCAATCTGCAACCGGCCGTGAAACTGACCAGCCTGGACTGCAAAATGAAAATCAATCCGGATTTGATCCGGAGTGAAAAACAAGCCCAAACACTTCCCCTGGTTTTGTCTGCGGTTTCTTTCCGCCCCCCATTTCTTCTCCCCTCGACCCTCTTCCCCCCCCCACCCGTCTAGGATTCGCCCCCCCCCGCCATGCTCCCGCAAACCCCTTGGCGTCTTCCCCAGTTCTGTCTCTCTCTTTGAACCCTCCCCCGCCTCCAACAGCCTCGTTTCCCATTTCCAGGCTGCGGTTCCCACGAAATTCATGCCTTCCGCCAAACGAACCGGGGGCCCTTTGGCCTTGTCGGCCGCCTGACCAAGAAAACCTAACCGGGATGGAGCGCAACCAGGTTTAACAGGTGGAGGGAGCCTTAAGGGAGCCGGCCGGGGGTCGGGAGCGGGGTCCCCCTTCTCCTCCTTACCTGTGTGGGTCCTTTTGTGGATTTTGAGGTTCTCGGAGCGAGCGAAAATCTTCCCGCATCCCGGGAAGGGGCAGGGAAAGGGCTTCTCGCCCGTGTGGACGCGGATGTGGTTGACCAGCTTGTACTTGGCCTTGAAGGATTTGCCTTGGCGGCCGCACTCGTCCCACAGACACACGTGGCTGTTCTGCTCGGGGCCCCCGACGTGTTCCAGCGTGAGGTGGGTGACCAGTTCGTGCATGGTGCTGAATTGCCGCTCGCAGCACTTCTTGGAACGAGCCCCCGACGGCTGGGAAGCCTCCTCCAGCCACTTGCAAGCCAGCTCCTGCTTCACCGGCTGCCGCATGTAGCGGAAGAAGGCGCCGGCTCCCGGGTGGGCGTGGGGGTGGTGGGGAGGGTGGTGGGCCGTCCCCACGTTCATGCCCCCCACGTTCACCGGGCCGTAGTTGGGGAAGGGCGGCGCGGCCCCGTAAGCGTCCGCTCGCGGGCTGGAGATGGCCCGGTACGAGTCCGGCCGGCCGAAGAAGTCTCCGCGCAGACCCAGGTGCAGCTGGCCGCCCTCCACGGGCCCCGACGGCGAAGGCAGGCCGGCCGCGTTCTGCTCGTGCAAGCCGGGGAAGAGCAGGTAGCCGCCCGCGCCGTCCGCCAGGCCGCCGGGCGCATGGAGTCCGCCGGGCGCGTTGCTGCCGAAGAGGCCGTGCGGCGCCGGGGAGCCGACGGGGGCCCCGCTGGATCCGCCGCCGCCGCCGCTCGAGGGCGCCTCGGCCAGGGCGCAGCCCCCGCGGTTGCGGAAGAGAAAGTCCCGCGTGGAGTTGAAGGCGGCCACGTAAGGCGAAGGCACCTGACCGGCGGCGGCGGCGTGCGAGTGAGGCGGCGGCGGCGGGTGAGGCGGCGGCGGCGGGTGATGGTGGTGCGGGTGGTGGTGTGGATGATGGTGGTGGTGGTGATGGTGGTGCTGCGCGAAGCCTGAAGCTTGCGGCGTAAAGGCGGATCCCTGAGCCGAGGCCAGCTCGTGGGCGGCGGGGCTGAGCTTGAAGGAAGAGTCGGCGAAGGGCGCGGGGTTGAGCCCCAGGGTCACGTCGTGCGGGTGGGGCCGAGAGGCCGCGAAGCCCCCCAAGGTGGGGAACTGGGGCCCGCCGTCCAGCAGCATGGCCATCGCCCTCCTTCAGACGGCCGCGGGAAAGAGGACCAGGCGGCGGCGGCGATCCACGGCAGCGCTCCTCTCCCTTCCGTGGACGCCGGAGGGACCTCCACACCTCTTCCTCTGCCTTCCCGGAGCCGCCGACCACGCGGGGCCGCTCCGAGCTCCCTCGGCGCCCTTCCCCTCCGCTGCCCTCCCCCCCCCGCCGCCTGGAGATCAGCCCCGCACAATGGCCGGGCAGGCAGGAGGGCTGCCGCGGCGGCAACGCCACAGCCACATTCACACGCGCGCCCGACCTCGCCGAACCGCGGGGGGAAGAAGGAGCAGCGGCGGCGGCAGAAGCCGAAGAAAAGAGAGCCGGGCGACGGGAAACCCCACCCACCCGGCCCCGGAGGAGCAAGGACGGCGGTGCCCCCCGGCCCGGCGGGCCGGGAGGGGAAACAAGGGGGGCGCCCTGGCGCTGCCCCCGAGGAGGGGATCCCCGCCGCCTGCCTGGTCCGTAGCGCGCCCTCTGCTTCGGCCGAGCCCAGTCCTGGCACTGGCTGGGCTCGGGCGCTTCTCCCCGGCTACCCCAGAGGGAAGCAGCCGAGGGAGGGGGCGCAGAGGAGCCAAGAGCGGGAGGCGGGGGGGGCGGAGGACAGGGAGACCCCACTCCGGGAGAGGGGGGCTGCGTCTGGGCCAGCCAATGGGGAGCCAGCCAGCCGTCTGTCACCTGACCTTCCAGCCGGGAGGCCCATTGGCCCGCTCGCCCGGACGGACAAGCTCTCCGTGTTGAAAATGGCAGCTGGCGGCGAGACCCTCGCCGTGATTGGACGGGGCTTGGCTCGGTGGGGCGCAGGTAAGGTGAAAGGCTGATGGCCCAGCCGGGTCTCCCCCCCCTCCCCACGCAGCGTTGTGTTTACTGGAGATGTGACGGAGGGGGGAGGGGTGGTGCTCGCGCATTCTCCCCCTTCGCCCCCCCTCCAGGGGGGGGGGGTGTCTTTACAGGCGCTGAGCCAGTTCGAAGCCGGGCGACTTCCTCGCCTTGCCCTCCTCCGACCGCTCCGAGATTATTAAATTGCCGTCGTCGTCTTGCAATCGTTTGTGACCCTGACTCCCTCCTCTTTTCGATTTTACTCGATTTTGCTCCTCGTGCGAGTTTTGCTCGGAGGAGCCGGGTCGGCCGCCCGCTCCAGCGCAGCCCATCAAGCCGACCCAAGGACGCCTGGGCGAAAAGGGGTCCCACACACACACACACACACACACACCGACCTAAGGAAGATCGTCCTTGGCGGGGCCGGATCTGAAATACCGGATCGTGGCCTTCGTTCCTCAAACCGCTTTTGTTTCCAGGGCTGGTGGGGGAGGAGACCGCTTTCTCTCTTTGAAACTTCTGGGGGGGACGTGGGACGCGCCTGGTGGCCACACGAAGCGAAGGGCGCTCCGCTAAGGCCGATGCGTGGATCTTAATGCAGACACGCAGGGATCTAGAGAAAAGGAGACGGTTGTTTTCAAGCTCAAGAGCACCAAGGCCCCCCCGCCCCCCTCATGTCGACAAATATTCTCCTTTAAAGGGAAACGTTGGAAATGAACCTGGTTTATCCTTTTCCCGACCCCCGGAGAGAGGAGACACTTCTGATTTGGGGCTGGTCGGGCACGGGAGAGATCCAGAGCACTTCCTCGGGAACCGGTTCTTTTGCCCGGGCCGAGCGATAAATCCTGGCCGGAGAGAGCCGGAGGCTTCTCGCTCGCTTTCGGGAGCCTCATTGCTTTCCGCAGCCCCGCTTCTCGCCTCCGGCCTCCGAGTTGCCCAGCCGCCTTTACATCGGCTTAAGAGGCGCTTCTGGAAAACCTTTGCAAGAAAAAAAAATCGGGGGGGGGTCGAAGTATTAAGGGGAAGCAAGCCTGGAAAGGAAATCGGGATGGGGAGGGGGAAGATGGAGAGAAAGCCGGCGATTGTGGTGTGCTTGCTCTGCCCAGTTACGGAATGCCCTCCCCCGCTTTGAAAAAGCTCCAAGGAAAATCCGCCGCTCTCCCCGGCAGGAAACGCGCGTTCGATCCGGCCAGAAAGAAGCGCTCGGGGTCTAAAATGCAGCCTACGGATTCCTCTTCAGCCCCCCACCCCACCCTTTCCCTCGCCAGCCCTTCCCAGATTTCAGCCTCCTTTTTTTAGGGAACTGGTCAAAAAGGGAGGGGAGAGAGAAAGAGCGCAAAAACAGAGACACAAGGGGAAAAAAATACAAGCTTTAATCGCCCCTTCCCCAAACTCACAGGGGCCCCCTCCTCGCAAGAACGGGAGTCCGCTCCTTTCCGGACGCCCCAGCGGTCTCGGTCGCTTGACTCGCACGCCAACTTTCTTGCTAGCCCCCCCCACGCTCCGTCCCTCCCCCCAGCCACGTCTCTTGCCTGGCCGGCAACGAGAAGGAAGCTTCGCGGGGGTGGGGGAGGGCAGGTGGAGGGAGGAAGAAGAGTAGCCGGGGGGGGGATTATGCCTCCTCGGTGCGTCCAGACAACACGGAGACGCACGCGTACATACACACATGCACACACAAAAACCCGGGGCAAAGGGGAAGCGGCCACGGGCGAGGGGGCGTTCTTGTGTTTATGATGAAGATTCGCACAGTGCCTGGGTATAAAAAAAAATGGCGTGCGAAGGGGGTGGAGGATGGGGACGCCCCCAAGAGCGCGAGAAAGCACCGGGGGAGGAGGAGGGGGCTTGGAATCGGCGCTTGGAAATCCGGAGGGGAGACCCCCACCACCACCACTCCAGCGGGCGAGCGGGGCTTTCTTTCCTCCGGCCTTTCCCGGGCTCTGCGCTCGCTAAGGCGCCCCCGCTCCCGGCCTCCTCCTTGCCCGGTTTGTCCCGTTCTTCTCCCGCCCGGGTCTGCCTGGTCTAGGCCGGCTCGGCGCCTGTCCTTCCGAGGCCGGGCGAGAGAAAATTAACGACCTCCCGCGCGTGTTCTGCCCTTGTCTGGCTGACACGCGTACAAGAAAGAGGCGTCCTGCAATTAGATCAACAAGCGCCTCTGGGTTTCAGGGCAGCTTTCCGAGACGGGCGCTTCGAGCTGGCTGGGGCGGTTGACCTTTTGTAACGCCACTCGTGCAACATACGCGGCCACAACCGCCCCGCTCGCCCGTGGCCTTTCGCCTTCGGAGTGGCCACGCGCAAACTTCCAGCATCCGGAGCAACTTTCACGGGGACGGGAGCGTCTTTCTCCCCACCTTCCTCTGCAGACTTTTCTCTCTAAATGGGAGGGAGGAGTGCGTGGGCGCGTGGGTGGGCGACAAACCCGCAGGCCGAGTGGGAGGAGGAGCAGCCCCGGTTGCATTTAAAAAAAACACCACCACCCCTAAAAAAACACCCTATAACCAAAATTAGATGGGGAGGGGTAGAGCCAGATCAGGCGCCCCCTCCCCGCTGAATTGAAAGAAAGAGCAACGTCTCCAATCCGCGTGGGAGAAAATCCGGGATGGCCCTCGCAGGCCGAACAGATCCCCCCCGCCCCGGCCTTTGTTGTGCGGAGGAGAAAGAGAAGCTGAGAAGGCGCGTTTGGGATTGGGAAAGCTGGGCGTTTGTCCTAAACGTTGGGGAGAAAAAAACAACCACCCTTTTTTCGGGTCGGTTTTTCTTGTGGTTTGGAAAACCGGAGGAGAATAAGACGGGGCGCCGGCTTTGAATCCCCCTCCGATCGCGGCGACTCGGCGCTGCTTTGCGGCCTGGCCAGGGCGGGGAGAGGCGGAGGGCGGAGGCGGAGAAGGCCAAGTTGACCCTACGGAGGTCTACGGGGAGATGAAGTCATATAAATTAAGCTGTAAATCTCTTCAGACCTTGCTCTCCGTCTCTTCCGCCCAGCCTCCTCCGGCGACCGGGGAAAGAGTGCATCAAGACCCCCAGAATGGGCGAAGCTGGAATCCCCAACCCCAAAGAAGGGAGAGGTGATGGGGGGGAGGAAACGGGTGTGTAGGCCCGATTTTTACTCTTGAAAAGAGCTCTGACCTTCTGAAAAGTCTGCGAGATCGGTATAGATTTAAACAAAAAACAACAGCAAAAAAGTTTGCCTGTTGGTTTTCAAAGGAATTCTTAAAGGGATTTTTATCAATAATTTTTTATCAATAAATTCGCCGCTCTTCCTCCCCTGCCGCCCTCATTCAACTTCCAGCGTTCGTTTCGTGCGTAAGAAGTTCCTGCTCCTTTTTAAAATATATATATATATACAGAATTGGGATAACAAACAGCAGCGTACGTACAAAATTCTTCCAATCCGGCCTCCCCAGAGAGAAGAACGGAACTTCTCTTGGGTTGAAATCCACAGGGCAAAAAAAGAAAGAAAAGAAAACCCGTGGATCTGAGCTGAATTGCACGCTGCGTGGATTTGAGTATTTATTTGGGGTAGAGTCACAAACTCGTTAGTTCATCAGCATTTATTCCTTTTCTGAGGAAGGCCTGGGAAGGTAAGTCCGTACTTCACGCATTTCCGGCCAGAGATGAAACCCCCCCTCCCCCCCCCTCTCTCTCTCTCAAGATCAAATAAAACCAAACTTCAAAAAGAAAAAAAAACCACAACACAAGGCTGCAGAGGGAAGTTGCTTGCCTTACGCTCCTTTCTACGGCAGAAGGCGGGCAGATACGCCAAGCCTGCGAGGATCAGACAGCTTTCTCTTTGGACTAAGCTACAGAAGCAAACTGCACCCACCCGAACCTTCAAATTACACCCTATAGAAAATAGAATTTACTTTTTCGCTTCCTTATTTTAATTCCGCCGGTCCTCCTGATCGCCTTTAAGGGGTTAGGGGAGGAAAAAAAATATTTTAAAAAAATCCCGAATTTCTTGCTCATCGTTTCTCCGCCATCCGAAAGGCCTCTCTTTGGGGCAGGGACAAAAAGGACATTTTTAAAAAAAAAAAAAAAAATTGCGTTCGCTTGGGAGAAAAGAAAAGAAAGTGAAAGGACGGAGAAAGAATCTCCGTACCTTCACGCCGACGCCCGTGCGCCTTTATTTTATTCTCCTGAATTGGGTTAATGCAATAACGCGGATCCCCAATGGATCTCCACTGTACGCTTGATCCTCCCTGGCCGGGGATCCCTTTAGAAACCAACCCTCCTCCCTTCCGATCAGTTCCGCGTCTAGATCTGCAACTAGATGCCTAGTTCTGGAGTGAAAATGGCCAAAGGGATTTTAAAAGCCTAAAAGAAACCAAAGCCTCCGTGGGG